AAGGCAAATTCCATACCATGAGCAGCTCTCCCTGCAAAAATTGTTAAGGCAAATTAAGTTGCAGGAGTATATACAAGGAAAGATTTGCTTTTCCTCTAAGGAATACTAGAGTATTTATCAGTTCTTCTCCATTAGAAACCTTATATGTTCAGCAGTAAAGATGAAAAGTGAAAAACCCATGAAGATCAGATACAAGGATGAATATTATCATTCAGGTAACCCAGCTACCTTAACACTGTCACCATGGAGATCCCCGATTATCTTCTGCTCTTTGCATACAAAGTGCTGAGAAACACTGGTTTCATAATTGGCATCATATTTCTCTGGGTATATTAAGCTTGCCTGCAGTATAATGCTCATCAGGTCCTGGATGGTTTCAGATAACTAGCAGTAATATACTGAATCAGATGATTCGATATGATGATTCTCAGTCCAGGGATTTCAATGTTTCCATGCACAGTGTGCAAGTGTGGAGATGACTGCAGCTGGGCTGAGGATGAAGTTGAGATATTCTGGGGTTTGTGGCTCCTGAGAAGAAAACTGTGGGTTTGACTGATGAATAAAGTATCATAGCCTTCTGCTGTGGCTTGCTCTATATTCCTTGTATTTTCAAATTTCTCTACCCCAACTCTGATTTTCCTAGATTCCTGACTTGGAAAACATCTTTGTACTGCAGTGCCAGCTCACAAGGCATGTGGACCCAGCCTTAACTTTTTCCTTTTTTTGGCAGTACATGTGGGCTCAAATATTTTACACAAGAAATACAATCAGATACAGCTTTTCAGAATGACTTTAGCATCTGCCTTCAATGCATTTAAGTAGCTGCTTCAATGAATTCTTCTGGTGCATTTCTGCCTTTTCCCATCCAGCATGTTTCGGGTTGACAGCAGAAGGGTGTCACATTTGTGCCTGTAGCTTTAAATGAAATCAAAATCTGTCTTTCATCCTCTTGTGTCCCTAAAACAATTTAGTCCTACTGTAATTATTAGCATTCTCATTAAGAACGGTTTAGCTGAAAATCAAGACAAAGATGCAGTGACTTCATCAAAGCAACACAAATCCAGATAAAGCTAGGTTTGTAATTTGACTTCTGTGCTTTGAAATAAATCCTCAGAACATCAATTACTGTATCTGTTGTAAAGCAATTACTATCAGCCTCCATTGCTTTTCTTTACACATTTTTAATTTAATCATTATTTTTGCTTAAAAATATAGGGTGAGGAATTTTACAGTTTCTTGGGAAAAACTAAAGCAGACAACAGTGAAGAATTTCTGTAAAAGCATAAATTGCTTTCTTTTGTAATCAGGTTGATTAGACTCATGTATAATCATACACAGCAGGTGGGAAGATTAACGTTTCACTAATTCCTAGTGGTCATTACTGCAAGGAAATTTAATCTTCAGAGTTCACAAGGATTGGAGTTGCATGCTGGTAAAGCTCATTTAAAAGACAGAACAAAACCAACTCAACTTTATATTCTGGAATCTAGTTTTACTTAAAACTGTTCTGGCCTGGAGGCGATACACCCAGTATCTTCTACTTAATTGAAAAGTAGATTTGTATTGATCATGACCACTTAACAAGCACATTCAGAACCTGCTCCTGTTCTCAGTTACTGTGGTGGGGAATACAGACAGGCCCTCAGTGGGTTAAGCTGGTTGATAAATAGATATTTTTACAGCAAATGTATTTTTTCTGTGTGTGGGCTGTATTAGTACACAGCACTAATAGATTCAGTTCTCATACTTGGATCAATTCAAAATACTTCTGCTGAAGTTGAATAAGTTTTTCATGTTTTATATGAAAACAAAATGTGACAATTATTATGATCAGATTCTGTTTCACTAACCAGGATGTGCTGTTTTTTTTTTAATTCAAGACTCCAAAATAGAATACCGAGCAACTTGCAATGTGAAAATTACGGTCATTTGCTACTCCTACACCACTAATCTCTGGACTTCTTACCTCTAGGTTCTACCAGCAGGAGACTTTACATCAGCATTCAGTGGTGCAGCTCACAGTGGTCCGTGACAGCTGGAAATGCTTGAAGGAATATTGGATGGTTAAGTAGGGATGACTACTCCATTTTTTAACTTGTGAGGTCTAGCTGAGGTGTAGCTATGTTTTCTGTCTCCTGTGAGCAAGAACAAAGGGAGATAAAAAAGCAAGAAGGAAGACAGTGGTAAGTCTAAAATTAATAGTGTTACTGAACAGGAGGTGGAAGCAAGCCTTGGTTTTAGCAGGGTAAGCTGCATGCTCCTCCTTCACCTAGAACTGTTTCCTTGTGCTGCATTACCTGGGAGATCACAACAGTATAACACTTTGGGAAGCTGGAGTAGAAAGATGTTGTGCTCCCTATAGTTGGGAAAATCATAACGAGATATGGCCCTACCATCACAAAACAAGCAGTCCATGGGTAAGTGCCTTGCTTTTTAACATTGTCACTACTTGAAGCTGCTTTAAAGAAATCTCCTAAAAAAGGATTGCGTCCCATTCACACCCACTGAAAAGCCTATCACATCTCAACGTTGTCCACATGAGAAACTGGGAGACGGCACCTGTGCCAAGGCTATGTTGCTGTTTCAGTGCTGCTGAGGACGAGGAGGTCTTGGGGACAAGAGGTAAGGGACCACCGTGGGGCAGAGCAGTTTTGGCTTGATGGTTGTCCCTCCAGAGGAAGTCTGTCCTGTGGATCTGCACAGAGGGCTTCCTCTGGTGCACCTCTAAATACCAGAACTGCAGTGGTTCTCAGCAGATATCATTAGGCTCATTTTCTTACCTAGTGCTTTAAGTGCAAAAATACGATCCTTTGAGCATATTAACAGGACATGCAGTTAAAAGTATAGTTGAGCTATAGCTTTAAAAATAATACTAATATTGACGAGATGGCACAGTGGTTGGATTTGGCTGGGTTAGAATATAGTATTATTCCAACACAGCTAACAGCATATCCCTCCAAATAAAACAAGTCTCATACACCACTGAGCATATTTTATTGAACACCACAGATGTTTACTGTGATAATTACGAAGCTATTCCACTGATACAATGCTGGTGTCCTTTATCCACAGAAAGTTTTGGTGAGGCTGAGCCCTGGTGGGACTGGTGACACTTTCTTGTCCCTTGCAGGCCCACCAACTCACACAAAAATGTGGCTAAGATGCAGACCTCTGTCCCAGCCCTGCTGCTCTGCCCAAGTTATGCTCAAGTCAGGATTACTGAAGTTATAATGGGCATAAACAAAATCAAAATAAACTCCTGCTATTGAAAGAGTTACTTCCACTTGATTTTCAAACTGTGGGTGCAGAATAACAGCCACATGTAGCATGAATCAAAGCAAGTTAAGTGCAGCTAAACTAGGTTAAATGTAGTGTAGTTGGTAATTTAAAAATCAGGAACTGCTAAAAACATGACTGCATTGTCATTAATGCTCTGTGAGCCTGCTAAAGGGACTGATTTTTTGTGTCAGTCTTCAATCAGTGTCTGTCTCAACCCTCAAATGCAGCCTACTGTTCAAAAAGAGCTTAGCATTCTGGTTTAATTGTGGCCAAAATACAAAGCAATACATTCAAAAACTGGGTGTATGCACAGTACTGAGCACTCACTGCCGTTCATAGTTTGAAAATGTTCCTGTGATTTAAGTGATAGAGTTGCCAAGCAGAGCTGGAGGTTTGCCTCTGAGAGAGAAGTTAGGTCCCACATAAAATTATGTAGCTTGAAGCTGTGATGGTAGCTCAAGGGTGAAATGGTGGGGTGACCTGCCTGGTCTTAATGAGGCACCCTGACCTGCACCAGGGGGATGGTTCCCTTGCTCCTGCCCTCCACAGTCTGTCATCCAGACTCAGTGCCCAAAGTTAGGCATGTCCCATCTTTGGTTTAAAAAAGGTAAACAGGAGCGTACTGGGGCTCCCGGGAATGTAAGGGAAGAGCAAAGAGAGAGGTGACAAGGGACTGTCACTAGGAAAGATAACAAAATTAGCGAGTAAACAAAGAGGCAAGTTAGAACATCAATATGCACAGTAATGAGTGACAATGAATAACCAGAGATCTGTTGCTTTAATGATGCTGTTGTAAAAATGATGGCCCTGAGCTATTTCAGACCACGTATCCCGAATTCTGGCTGATGCTTATCAGTTTATATGCAAGAAAATTTATAGCATGCAACCTAAATGAAACAGTCCTTTGGACAAGAAGAAATGGATTGCAGGTGCAAACAAGCATGAAATGAAAATCTACTAATGAGTTTCCATTAGCAACTAAATACATAATCGAATATTTTTTAGCCAACATAGAGCAATGAGAAAATCAATTTATTCCTCGTAAGTACTACTATATGGATTGATGCTCTAATACAGCTAAACTGGTTTTGTTAAGTGAAAGCTGAGCTTCAGGTTCAGTTAAAGCTTAGCTAATAGCAGCAGTAGAACATGGGTTTGCTTTTACTGAATAGGAATGGAATATATTTGCTTTGGAAACTCTAAATAACATAAGGTGAAATGAAGTACTAATTAACATGGAGTATTTCCATCTGAAATAAAGAGACTTTTCAGACTTTTCTGAAATATAGATATTTTAGAAAACAGACTAGCACTGGCACATCAGAATTTACTTATGAATATCCATTGTTCATCATCTGCTCTTGAAGCAATGGTATCCTCAGTTTCCCATCTAATTTTGCCTTAAACAACCTCTAACCTGGGTTTTGTTTGCATGGTGTTTTCAAACCTTATTCAACTACAGTAACTGTTTCTCCTTCACCTGAGGAGACCCCAGTTTCAAGGCTCTCAAAGCCATATACATAAACAAAATAGCTTTGAAAAGCTGTTTTGAAAGTGTTGGTGAGGATTCTGCAACAGAAGACACACCTAAGAGTTAAAGAGGTACCCCTTCAGCCCCATGCCGAAGAACAGCAGAACAGTGTGTTGATGCAGTTACTGCATGTGAATGAAATTTATACTGAGAAAAGGGCTAGTATGTACACTACAAACAATTTGTGTTTCTTCCAGGTCAGATTCTTCACCTTTACTTCCAGCGAGGTGTATGTCCCATGGACCTCATGGAGCTACTCCTGTAGAAAATACTGTTCCACAAAACAGAGCTCAGATGGGCATGATTTAGCCTCCACCATCCAGTGGCTTTAATTATGGAGAGGTAGGTGGGTTTATCGTTCATCTGTTTAGAAACACAGCCCTGCAAGCTAAATGCACTTTTCAGGGAAAATACTGAAATCAGGAGGAATTTTAAAAGGGATACACTTGAACATTTTAAAGCTCAGTAGTTTATGACTCAACATACGCATAACATTTACCAAAACAGAAGTCAACGGAAATAATAATAATAATAGGGAAGGAGAAAGCCAAGTACTTTTTAGCACCTTTTTTTCAAGGAGGAATTCATTGTGTTAGCTCAACTTTACTAAGTTTTTACAAAAATGATTGATATGATGGAGATCCTAGATCAGAAGTAGTTACCTGTTTGGGACAGATTTCAGTGGACATTATTTCTCAGTGGATCTTATACGTGGACGTTGGAGCTTATAATATGCTGAAAAACAAATGGACTTGCTTGGACACATAATACTTCTTGACAAGCTTTCAATAAATGTATGGCTGCATATAAATCTCCTATTTTAGCATGACAAACGTATCCTCTTCTAACAGAAACTTCAGCAAACTCTGAATGGAAATGTTCTGGCTGTTGTCAGTCAAAATGAAGAAAAGGTTGGAGCATAATTAAGCTAAACATTGCATTAAACGTCTCATGTTTGGTGACCAGCTCTTGCACACTGGTAACACCTTGCTCCACAAATGGCCACATTGAATTCAGTGGAGTGACAGCTTGTAGTCAGATAACACTTGGTAACTGATGGGATCCCTACTGGATTTGTGAATTTGTCAGACTGAAATGTAGTCCATTCACTACTCAAGTCAGCTTCTTCCAGTCTGGAAAGCACATAACTCAGCAAGAAAACTGTTTAGAGCAGGGGGTGATGAACACCGCGCTATGGAAACTGTGAAGGGGAATTGGGGCAGGTGCAGTGCAGTGAGCTAACTAGACATTTGGTAGGAATGTGGCAGTTTTTACAAGCCAGTTTCTGAAAAACACAATGTGGCATCTCTAGTGTGTTAGATAATTTCAGGTGAGGGTTTCTTCTGAAAGCAGAGCCTCTGGTTTAAGCACCTGTCAGATCTGTGGGCTGTGAGGCAGCAGGATACTGTAGAAGATACTGTAGAATTAAGTGCTATGTTTCCAGATCATACCACTGCCACACCATATGGCTTTATCAGAAAATGCTGGTGGTAGTGACAACGTGGGGTCTCACGGAGGGCTGCTGCCTGTGGCTATAGGTCTTCCATATTACCTTTATCCTATTACATGACCACTGCAGCCCCCCCTGCCCACATACAGATGCACAGAGTTGGATATAGAGATTATTCTGAAATCCATGGAGATCGCCATTCTCAGACTCACACTTGGGACATTTCCTACTGAATTACTGTAACTTACTGCAGAACAAAGACCTGGTAGAAGAGCATCAGGAAAGACATATGTTTCTTTATGGCCTTTACCAGTTATTACTGTAGCAATAACAGCTTTCAGGAAACTGGAGATGGCTCTATCAGAGGTGGTAATGGCACTTGTGAGCTGTTGATGCCCTCTACATTGTGCCGCTTCACCACATTTGGTGAAGGCATCTCCATTCTCTGAAAGCCAGCAGTGACTCAGTGATAGTAAAAAAATAAGATAGGATTTCAGGTGCTTTCTCTGGCATCCTGTGTTTGAAAGGGGATGTCCCTGTGCTGTACAGAGTGAGATGATTTGTTTACAAAGATGCAATATAAAACATACTTCAAAATCTCTTGTTTTCGTAAGAACCTGTTTATATCTGTGAACTTTAAAAGTGAGACATAAATTATTGGACACTGTCTGGTTATGGCTGAAATTTCTGAGGCTCTTTTGGCTCAATTTGTCTGGGAAAATGCCTGCAATTTGGACCCAGTCTAATGGCAGTTTCCCATTGACTCCAGTTGGCATTGTACCAAACCTTAGTGTTCTCTACAGCAGGCAAATGCAAGAATGAAGTATTTCTGTGACTCTCTCTAGAATCATGAATGCTGGTGTAACTTGGAGATACTCTTGAGGTCTCCCTGAGCATGCCTGCATGTGCATTTTCTGTGCAGGTAAGCAATGACAGGCAAGAGACCAGGAACACAAGAAAGGGAAAATAGTAGTTAGTTCCCAAGACAGTTTTGTCACAGCTTTAGAAATATCTAAGCAACCTGTCTAGCTCCACTCTGGAGAGCCAGATAAAGCATATCTTCCTTCCCATCTTCCTCTAGAACTCTAATTGAGAAACAAATAAAATTTGTGTAACCTTATATAGCCACTGCCATAACTCTGTGTATCTGATAGCATCCTTTATCTCTCACCAGCTGGAAGTACCGCATTTTCATAGCCCTGAATCACCAAATGCATTCATCAAACATGACAAATGCCTTCAGAACACTAAATCACACCACTCGATCTCAATGGGCTACATAATCATTGTCATAGCGATAATAAATATAGGAATATCTGTGTTCCAGACTCAAATAACTATGGCTTCTACCAGGGCTGAGAAACTGCAGGGGGAAAACTGAATCCTAAGTTAAGAGGTTTTCAGTGCTTCAAAAATTTGATAGAAACATGAATATTTTGTGATGTTTTCTGATTTTTATTTTTAGAAAAAAGTATTTTGTTATTCAGGTTATATCTTAGCAAGTATAAAAATTTAGAAGGGAAAAACTATTTACTGCTCTCCTGAGGCGTTGCCAGTTCTGTGGCCTTGCCCATGTACTGCTTCCTGATGCTCTGGTGTCCCAGATGACCCTCGCATGCCTGAGGGTGGCATTGTAAGGAGATGCCAGTATCTTTATGGCTTCTGCAGGGAGAAAAATGGAGCAGAGCATCCTTTTCCTTGCTCTGTTTGATGGCACCCTGCACCTGAAAGGCAGCAGCAGGAAGACACTGAAGTCATCGCAGGTCACACTTGGTATCACTTCAAAAAAGGAAAAGTTGGGCTATGGATGCATGAGCAAATTGCCTGAAGGATCCCATCTATCAACTGACCTGTGAGAACTACGTCTTTTCTGCAGTGAAAGCCAGGCAGTGCAAGGTAACTTCATAACCTTAATTAAATTGATGCTCATTCTCTTTCTTTGGAGTTGGTTTGGGAGCTAGCAAGATAGTATTACCTCAGATAACCTTATTTTATCCAAGAGCACACCCAAGCAGATTATAGGCCACTACACTGTAAACTGTTTTTACTTCCACAGAGCCAGTATTCCATGGTCAGAGCTAAACCAGATGTTTTAAAACTAGTTCAGTAGAAGATGCATGAATGTAAACATTTCCTCTTCAATGTTCATCACCCAAAGTCAATACCCCTGTGTTTGTATGTAGGATTGCAAGATGGAAACTTTGGTTTCAGTCCATACATGAATCTTCATTTTTTAAAAGTGCATTTTTATACATGTATGTGTGGACACAAAGACATTGTGTGTGCACAGTATCTCAAAAGCAAGTACAGCATTTGCTGCTGTGCAGTCCTACAGCATTTTCTTATATCTCTGCTTAGTGCTATTTACTGCATTTTTAAGTCAGGTCAAAAAGGAGACTTGTCTGGGAATTTTCACTGTGTTTTTGCCACCCAGTTGCCACTAAAGCTGAGCATGTGATTTTGCTGTAAAAAAGATGCTGATTTGTCAAGAATGCAAAACCTATGCTGACATCAGTGGGAGTTGGGTATCTGGAATGATTAAAGACCAAAGCCAATGATATGACTGCATGGTATTAGCCTGGGATTTGGGAAATGAGTACTCTTTGCTCTGCAATTAGATCTTCTTAATAAGAGGCAGTTTAAGGTGACCAAAAGCCCAGTCCTGCTGATCATCTGCACTGTGAACTTCTAAAATCATATCCCAGCAGCTCCCTAGTTTGCCCCTGCAAGTTGTGAAGAACACCCAGGTAAAGACAGCAGGTCTCCAGTCTGTCCTCACCTCCAGCCCTGTGTATCTGGTATGATGGGCCAGGCTGTCCACCGGCAGCAACAGCCTTGTCCTCTTCCAGGTCCTCATACTGTTGGTTCTCCTTCCATGGCTCCTCAGGCAAGCTGAGCTCCCAGGGAGACTTGTGCAAGAAGGGCTTTCTCAGGTACTGGGGTAAGAAGTAGCTGTTAAATTGCTATGGTTGTAAATAACTTCCACTGCTTTTCCCCCGCCCTCCTCCCCAGACATCATCTGATTTACTCCAGTGATAAGCCCACTGTTCTGTACATTTATTTCCAAGGAAATAAACATTTATTTCCTTGACAACCTAAGTTTTCCCTTAGAAAATGCCCAAACCTGGGATCTATTATGGCAATTGACAGATAAAAAAATTGGCTTGTGTGGACTCATGCTGTTTAGCATATATACCGAAACAGAGAGAAAATGGCATGTGTCACAAACCCGCAATGGCCTTATTATACTGCGAGAGCCACAGGGGATGTGTATGGTGACAAGGAACCCAGGTTCTTTGCAGCCCTTTGTCATATTTAGAGTGTTAACAGGGCTGAAATTAAAATATCTGAATTTTTTTTCCAGTGGTAAGAGCTCTCAACGTAGTGATTCTTGCTGACTAATTGCCCCCAAAACAATTTTTTAACCCACTGTTTGATACACATCTGCCTGTCAAGGTAAAGACAAGTGTCAGTTAAATCTGTTTATGTGAAGCTTATTTGAGGTGAAAAGCAGCCAGGAGCCCAGCAGGAGAGGATTTTCCCAGCTGAGAATTACAAAAGAACATCTTTGGTTTAGGGAAGTGTTCAGAGACTTCATGTGCAACAGCCCCTCACAGTACCACGATCAGCACAAAGTCTCAGCGCAGCTTAGTAAAAGGATGTCTGCTGGTTTCCTGAACATCACGGAGAAGGTTGCTCTATTTTCTGGCTTTAAAGCTGAGCTTTGCCTCCTTTCATTATGATTAGATGTTGAAGGCTTGGCGTTCTTTGGTTGTGCCTACAGAGCCACAGAACCTCCCCATAAGCAACAGCCTATGGCTGGAGCTTCAGGCACTCTGGTAGCGCAGGTAGGTTATAAATCACAGACATCCTCAGAGGCTCCTGTACCTTCAGAAAACAAGGGAGGACTGGTCCAACATGCTCCCCCCTCTTTCTTATTTGCTGGCAGTGGCTCAGGAGTAGAAGACATAGGCATAGACTGTATGTGTGCAGGGGCTGGTTCAGACCTGCTGAAATGCAATTACCTTTGTGGTGCTTCATCAGCGGTTTCCATATAAAGAGTATTTTGGAATGAGCAGAAAAATGCTTTGTGCAATGAAAAAAATATCAAAAAGGACTTGGGATGGTAGAATGTAAATAACTAAATGACCAAATCAGTGTTCTCTTCTTGAAAGAGATCCATTACACAGATGCTGTTGGATATATTGTCTTTTGAATGGCTCTGTCCTGTTCCTTCCTTGGCTGCCTGTATTTCCTGCTCTGCCATGACACTGCTAGGCTCCTGGCATTGCCCCACTTGATTTGTCCAAATAACGGTCTTTCAAAGAATAATAGCCCTTTTACTCAAGGTTGAGAAATGGCTGAATCAGTGAAAGCAGTGCTTGGAAGTTTTCCTGAGAGGTTACTGTCTTGAGTACTGGTCAGAACCTCATCTGGCTCAGCCTGTGAGAAATGCTGACACTGCAAACCCTGATGGTGAGATTTCAGGCTGTAGTCTTTCCTGTTAAAAAGCCTACAGATAACCTCCCTTGATACAGCTTGAAATATTAACCTGCGTTCCTTCTGATTTCCGCAAGTAAACCCCTTAACCTCTGGATGTAAAGGTGCTTTCCCTATCAGCAGCCATCCAACCAAGATGCAGTTTTCAAGTGAATTTGCCATTAATGTGATAGTGTATGTGAATGTCAGGTTTGTGTAATGCTGTTAAAAAGACTGCTTTCACTTAGATGGGCCCAGACCTTTAAATCTGTATTCTGGGTATGTGTGGTCTAGAATAGACATGGTGTAGTCCGTGTCAGGTGCTGCAAATGCAAACCTATATTACTGTTTTCATTAAAAGCAAATCTAGACCTTAACAAAGCAGCTGTATTTTTGGCACCTAACTTATTCTTTTAAAAAATATTTTTTTTTAATTGAATAATGCTCATAGTCATTGAATTTTGAGAAATGCTCACACTTAGTGCTTTGACTTTTTCATGGGAATGTGTCACTAAAAGGAAAAGATGTTACTTCAATACTGGCCAAAGTACAATTCAAACCCAGCCACTGTTGATGTGATACAGCTTTTCACATGAGTAAAACAGTCCACCTTGCAGGAGCTCCAGGAGCAGGTTTGTTCTTTTAGATTGAATTATTTTTGAATCATAAACATTGGTCAGCTACAGTAATTCGTCTGTTCTTTCTGTTGGTGCTAAAAAGAATCTGCTTTTTTTACCTCTATGAAGATGCACAATCAGAGCATTCACTGAACATCCAGTTTTGCTTGAAATTTTGTGCTTCACAATATATAAGAGTTTGAGAAATGCTGAGAAACAGGGCATTAAGTGTAGGACATTGCATCCATCCACACAAGAGAAACTAAGTCCACTTTGTCTTAGCCTAGCTGAATCATCCAGGTTGCCATAGACTTTGTGGCTGCCACAAGTGATGGCTGTAGGTGGGTGTGCCTGTCAACTAAACTACCAAAGGATTTGGTGGCTGGTGTGTGGTACAATGGATAAACCCTGCTTTTTCTGACATCAGTACTGGTGCCTGGCATTTGCAAAGCCCATCTCTCTAGAATGACCTTCACACAGTATATGGGAGCTTTTGATCTCTTTGTATGCTGCGAGATGTGGAACTGTGTGAGAACAAAATGTAGCGCAAATAAATGATGACATGAGAGGTACCAAGGTGCTGTGGGTTAAGGAGGCAGGATTTGGAGTAGGAGAAAAAAAATACCTAATTTTCCATCCAGCTCACCAGTCCCCTGTGTGCAGACTAATTTTAGAGATAATTGTTACATGATTTCCTGAATATAATCTATTGTTATCTGTGCCTTGCAAAATAAAGCCATGTCTAATTCTGGATAACCACAGAGGTGATTTCATAGTTACACTGAAATGAGGATAAGGACTTGTTAATGATCTTTAAAGATCACATCATTTAATTCTGTGCTCTTGGTAGTTAAACCAGACTAGTCACAAAGGGGTACGTGCTCCTTTTGTTGCAGGCAGCAGCCCCTGTTAATTCCAGTGGGAGAAAGGAAGATGCTTCTGATCACACATCTCACCTTGGTGTACCAAGTGTTTGAGACAAAGCATGGGATAATTTGCTATTTTTGTCTGCGTAACTCCTCTGCAACCTGGAGCAAAGAGTTTAAAGGCCAAGTCCTGCTGCTGCTGAGAGTGCTTCTGAAGTGCTAAGAGCCTCTGCCTCCCGACCAGCAAATGTGTGACTTGTTCTGAAGCAGGAGGAAATTACCAGCCAGAAAATGCTCCCTCTCCAGCAGGGCAGTTGGGAACAATGGGAGCTGCTGGGCACTCGATGGGCTGAAGGTTAAAGAAAAATGAAAACGAAAGCTATGAAAAAGTAACAACAGCTCAGGAGGTGATGCTGCATTTTTCCTGCTTTCCAGTGTTTTCCTGGCTTCAGGTGTGATTCTCTAGTGAAACTTTTGGGTTAACTTATAGAGGGAGAGACAACCTAAGGAGCAGAAAACAGAATCATGCTCATCTGTGGTTTCCAATGGAGAGAAGAAGGGAGCAATCAGTTCCCCTCTCTTCTCAAAAATAGGTCCCAGGAGCCCATCACATTGAAGTAACATGGTGAAGAGCTGAAGTCATCCAACAAAATAAAGTAAATTATTTTCAATTACTGGAAATGAGTAATGGGTGAAGAAAAACTTATGTTGTGAACAAAAACGAAAGAAAATGATCAGAAAAAGAACAACAAGTTGGAGAGACATTTGTGACTTTTGTTTTCCAGTTGGTGCTTTCATTTCACAGATAGCTAAAAAAAAAGCCATCTTGGAGGCTTTAGCAGATTGGTAAGCCTAACTGGGCTGGACAAAAGCTACTAAATCCCTTAAATGAGTTTCTCAAATGTTTAGTCAATGAAACTTCTTTTGTAGGGTGAGTCACCCCCAAAATATATTTTAATGCCTTTTTCCTTTAATTGCTTTGGCTATAAAGTGGAAAAAAAAGCTCATGGGTTTGTAGAGACCATCAAACCAGTCCCACCTGCACCAGTAGGTTAGAATTTACAACCAGCTTAACTAGCTCTGTGGTATTTGTATTCAATAAAAGGTAAAACTCTCTTATGAGCTGCTTCTTTTTTTAATTCTGCTTTTTTTTTTTTTAAGCCTATGAGGCACATAAAATGCAATTCACAGCAGAAGGATGGTAATTGGGAGAAAATGTAATGGATGGTCCACATTTCTCTTTGAAGTTCCCATTGATCAGTGTTGCTGAGACTATTTTTCTAATCCATAACTCAGAAACATGAAGGAACTGCCACTTTATGCTTTGGGTATATGTGCTTCACCTGCTAAGGAAGCAGATCTGGACTCCTGAGAAGCTTTTATTCAGCTTTTTCTTTTCAAGATGGTGAAAAATGGGCAAGAATCAGGCCCCCAGTTCTGGTGTTTTCTTGAATACAAATTTTCCTGACATTAACCAGAGCAGTAGTTGTTTGGTGATTTCTTTTTTATGTCTGAATTTTGTGTAAGACAACTACATCCAATATCTTCTAGTCAAAGAATGTGCTTTCAGCCAATTCAGAGTTAATTAGGAGATGTTACCCCACCTCCTCCCCAGTGGACAGGCAGCTTGTGTTGAAAAAACAAGCCTTTCACAAACAGGGAAAAGCCATCTGTCCAAAACATGCTTAGGAAAAAGGTTTTTTTTAATGCTTCCATTAGCTGAATTCACAGGTAATAGTTTTCATAGTGGAGCCAGTTAGTAGGATAAATTTTCATGTCCCTGACTGATACAGATGTGATGGCAAACCAGACGAAGTAGCTGTGGCAACAGCTGTTGGAAGGGTCAGGGAGTCACAGCCAGACACTTAACCAGCACTGGGACCACAGACAGAAATGTCTGTGGAATTGTGTACGTGCAGGAAAAATGTCTTGGTGTTGAAGGTGCTGTTTGCATTGAGAAAATAGTTTCTCTGCATGGTCAGGCACTGCCAGGTCTTGATCTCTTTGCATTTCATAATCTCAACTGAAAAGCCACCTTTCTTGGCAGAAGTTTCCAAAGAGAAAATACATAGGACTTTGAGGATCTCTCTGCTGGGGTCAAGTAAGTACCTCTATGGGGGAAACCTGGTCACGTAGAGGGCTGCTGGCTTGGAAAGAACTTCTGTTGTCTAGAAATTAAACTGGATCTATGACACAGAAGTTTTCATATTCTACTGCCCTTTCATTGGCTCAAACATGGAGCAAAATGGGCTCCCCATGCCTGCTGCCCAAGGGTGAAAACTAAAAGCCAGGAGGTACGTACTCAGGTTCCTGACTACATTTTAATAAGAGAGAGAGGGGAAAAATTATACTCCTCAGTGTGGAAATTGTGGTGATCTGGAATTCAGAGTAAGAGCAATTAATAAATAATGAGTAGAGTTGTAAAGAAAATACATTTTTCAAGGACTCTGGAAAACATACTTAGAGCTGCAGTCTGGAACCTGCAGACAGAGTAATTGCAAACATCATGTACCTGCTTACATGAATCAGAAGTTTATTAATTAGCTGTTTCTAAAATACCTTTTACAGCTGATGGGGTATTAATGAAGTGGCTTGTATTCCCACCCCAGCAGTTCTCTGTACAACAACCCTCCGTATGCAGGGGAGAGCAGTAGTGGGAGAGGGTGAGCTTGCCTGTGCAGAGCTGGGGGATGCTCCTGTTCTGAAGAACAAAATGGTGATTTCTTATGTGATGAGTTCTACCAAACTGTATTCATGTAGTAGGGTTTTTTTTAAGGCTCATGTTTGTAATGTGTTGCCCTGTTGCTACCTTGCTCCATACCCCTGCTTTTGCATTCTCTTTGTGCCAAGAGAAAGTGGTTCCCACTTGAGGACTGACTAATACTTCTTTGTAACAGCCTTTTGGGTGGTTTTGACATCTGTTTTTCTCCATAAATCTCCTCCTCTTCTCAGTTTAGGAATACTATTATATCCTTTGCCACAGTCAGACACTTCAGGACAACCTCTAGTCATTGTGGAAGTGCATAGTACAATCCAAATGGAAACAAAAACAATTAAATATATATTTGACAAACAGTATTTAGATGAGCCTAGATTTGTTAATGGTTCATTTCAACCTTTGAACTAAATTAAAAGTTGCTTTAATCTATTTTTAAAGAAATACCTATTTTTTGTTTGTAGATGCCGTGCTCCATCTTTAGATGGTTTTTCTTAATCTTAAATGTAGCACCCACTAGCTGTGTTTGTACAAAGCATGCATGCTTTTTATACCACCATAGATGAGGATTCACACAAACCTATCAGCGAATGCATGGCCTAAAAGGTAGATTTGACAAGCAATTACTTCCAGGTCTCTTTTGAAAGTTGACTCCTGTCTATTTAGTGATGATTGACATTAATTACGTGGTGCTGGCACATTCAGCACTGCTGCACTTACAGGACGGATTTTGGGACCTGCTTCTTCCAGTGCCCCTCCACAGCTTCACTCATGGTGGCTGAAAGGGACTGGAAAACCAAAACCTGACTTTGTTTGTGGCCCTCTGCTAACAACAGGCAATATAAATACTCAAGACACAGCATGGAAAAATAAGGGGAAAACTGAATGTAAAGAAAGCACATGTGGATCTTGTGGTCTGAAAAGAGAGACTGTATTTCTCTGAGCTTTCAGGTTGCCTTCACAGCTCCAAGCAAGATGACAACGGATGTCCTGTAAATATTTAAAGACAGAGTCTGACCCTCTCCCCTTGTGGTGCTACGCTGTGTAAAGGTAAAGACAGGCAGCGATCTTCCAATGTTTAAATATGTCAATTCTGAAAAGGTAGGCCACTCCTGTCATAGAGGCACCGGGGGGGTTTAATCAATATGTGACAGTCTAATGCCTGCGTTATAAAATCTGTGTGTTATTTCTGGGATGCTGCTTAACTTCATTAGTGGAAACTGGTCAGACACAAAGGTGGCAGGGTTTTCCCTGTTGGTGTCATCTGAGGCCAGTGTATTGCTAACATATGTTTGTTTGTATTCTCTAACATATATTTGTTGTCTTTTCTAACATATATTTGTCTTCTCTAACATGTATTTGTTTGTTTTCTCTCTTTTTTTTATTCTTTTGAAGCTTGCTACATGTGGCAAAGGTGTAAGTGCTATTCTGTCCAAGGTGGATAGTGACATTAAGCATTACTTTCAGGCTGGAATAATCCTGAATAATCGGTGAACTGAATAATCGGTAAGGTCTCTTTTACATGCTACTTTGCAAAAACAGGCAGGGAGCTTCTTATGTGTTTTCGCAGAGGATGGCATCACTTCCACCACAGTGGGCAGCAAGGCTGAAAATGCTCGGAGAAACTGCTACAGGCATTTCTTTATCATCTTCACAGTCTTGTGTTGCAGTACAGATGTGCAATGCTGACAATGAGCTTGCCTTTTCTTTTGCTCCCATCAGTGGGAAATCAAGTGCTTTTTGGTGTAATCCCAGTACAGTAGTCTGTATTTCCTGTGCAGGTGTGCAGCCTTTGAACAAAAAGCCTTTGACCTTGCATTCCACCTTTTCTGCCATCTCTCCTTGTGCTGGCCATGGACCCAGGCCTGCAGGAGAAGGAAGCCCTTTGCTTCTCTTGGGGGAGTGGGATTTCTACAGCTGCAAAGTTGTGTTTCCAAAGCGGCTTGTATGTACTTTATTGTATTCAATACATATTTATGTATTTTATTGTATTCAATCTGATTCTCAGTATGAATTTATTTAATGTCCGAGGATTCTTCACTCAAACCTGTCCACAGTAGGGGTTTGAGATAGGAAACAAACTGAGTGGCTGGCTGGAGGAATGGGATCTCCTGGCCAGTGCTGCTTTATATGTACTGTTATGTGTAAAAAGCTGTGTAAAAGCAACGGAAACTGAACAGAAGAGCTGCTTCTGTTTCTGTTGTGGGAATATCATGGAGCCAGGTTTCCCCAACAGTCACTGCTGGTAGAAAGACCGTGGGCTTGTTGTACACTTGCAAGGACATGGGCTGTGTGACACGGGGTGGGTTTGGTCCTTCTTGGCATTCCCAGCCCTCCTCTGCAAGCCTCAGACTGGGGAAGGGTAGAAGAGGGAGGTGGGACATGGGAAGACAGCGAGAGCCTGCAGCTGGTGGGCTAGCAAGTGTGTGCAAAAGTAGGAAGGGAAGTAAAAAGAACAGAAAAATGAGAGAAAAAAAAAAGACTGTAAAATATAGCACATGAAGAAGAGAAAGATATTGGCATATTCTTCACTCTTCAGGGTAGCTCAAGTGGATGTATATAATGGGTTTGTTTCCATTTGATATAATAAGCATTGGCATTTGAATACTGATTAAGGTTTAATGGTTTCAACCCCTTGCAGGTGGGATGAGGGTAGGGAGGTGCACCCCAGCAGGTGACCATCTGCACCCAGAAAGCCCAGGCAGAAAACTCCTATTATAAAATTCAGTCTGGGAGATGTACGTGTACTTGCAGCATAGCACGAGTATGTATTGATTAGGGCAACGATGTCATTTTGTTTTGTGCTGAACAATCCAGCATTTGGAATTGAGACCTGTCAGGAGCCAAATGACTTTGCAGAGCAAATTGAAAAGAACAGGGCTATAAATTGTAAGGGAATTCACTTCATGGTTAACACCCAGGCGTGCTGTGAAAAACAGGACTGTACACAAACTGCCCTGCCATGCAAGTCCCAGTCAATGTGCTGACAAAGTATCCTGCTGAACCCCAGTGTCTCGCTCAATATTTCTTAAAATAGCATCATTTAGGAGGCATGGGAAGGCATACATTTTCACCTTAAGTGATGCATGGATAGGAGGTTTTGTGGAATTACTAAGGAGTCTATAGATGAGCTTTGTAGCAGTCTTATTGCACTTCATATATATAGCTTAAGTGTATTGAAATGGCTGTAACTGAAAAAGGACCTACTTGATACGTACATCATTTCCCTTCTCCAGTATGTATGCTGAAAAGTCAGTACAATATTTTTTCCTAAGTATAAATCCAGGAATTGCCAAAAATCTAGGTCAGTACATACAGGAAACTAGTAACCCCCTCCAGCAAGTTCACCTTGCTGCGCTGGTCACAAACCCTGTGCCACAATCACTGGGTGTGCAGCATCTCCACATTCCATGGGCTCACGTGGATTTTCAGGAGCCCCATATCTCCTTGTGCACTTCAGTACCAACCACCAAACTCTTCCTGAAGGTCTTGCTCAGCTCCTCAGGCTGAGTCTTGGGCTGGATTATTGTCCCCTCCAACTCTCCGCATGTGTTCTCTGCAGTTGTCACCCAGCTCAGCTTCCAACCACCACCTGCCACTTTGCACTTAAGCGAAAGATGATGTTTGGAGAGATACTAAGGTTTCAAAAGGCAGTGGCCAAAGGGTTTTAACGGTTTTGCTGTTTACTCTTGGTCAGTTAGAAAAATCAGGAAAAATGAGCAGACACTCACAGAGAGATTTGATGAGCAAAAGGAACCATTTGGAATGGTACTGATATTGGTTGGGCTGATTGGTTGGGCTGATTATTTGGGCTGATGGTTGTTAAAAGCAGTTCTGAGCAAGGAGGAGAGTACATTGCAAATATAAAGCAAGGCTTTAGATACTGTTTTGTGAGTTCAGGCATTCAGCACAGCAGCCAGCTTTTACAGAATTCCTGCTTGACAGCAAGCCAAGCATCGATGAAGCAGCACCGCAGAGTCATTAAATTTACAATACTAATGGGAGTGAGAGCAGAAGAAGTTACACATTTTAATGGAGGAGACTTACAAATGCAGTAGATAGAATTTCAAGAATTATTTAGATCCCTGTAAAACCTTGTTATCCCAGTTTACACTTCCTTAAATTACAGATTATCTTTCCAGCCAGCATGATTGTGTCACATTTCAATCCAAGGGCAATTTGTCCTTTACATGGAGGGGACCCATGAGTGCTCTGAAGCCGTAATTCCCCCTTTCTGCCAGCCCCAGGAGGGAGCCAGCTTTGCTGGAGGGGGGTTCATGCTCCCCAGCTCCCCAGCACTCCCCAGCCTCCTGCCATGTGTACTGGGAATTTGAGGGAGGTCTGGGGGTGGGGGTGAAAACCACTAAATGTAAGGAGACATTTGGACTGGCACTTGCCAACTTTTCTGTTTTGTAAATTCTACAGGAATTTGAATTGCATGATATATTTTCACTTGCAAATGTTCCAGATTTGTTATTTTTCCATTTTCCACATTTTTTAAGCTTATGTCATTGCATAATGGTGTTTTTTTTTTACCTCTGTCCTTGTGGAGGAATAAGCAGATATGAGTATCTCAGGAATAATTCCCTTGCAGCAGCAGCCTATCCTTGCCTGAACACAAAATAATCCAAGAGATGTTAGTAGTTTTAATTTCCAGTTGTATAAGAGCTGATGCTTCTGGAAAGGTGTGATCTTTAAACCTGTAATAAACTCAGATGTCTCTCAACAGAGCTCTGTGGGAGATTCGTATTTGTTAGAGGAGCAAAATATTGGAGCTACCAGATTGGTCTGAAATACAGTACTTTGTGGAAGAGCAACTGGAGAAAAATAAGCAGATGTTAAAGTGAAAGGACTGCAATGCATTTCAGTCCTGGGCTGGTTTATGGTAAGAAAGGGCAGGAGAAGCAAATGGAGGGCTGGAAGGCAATATTAGACAACAGTAGGGATGTTTAGATAAACAATAAACAACCTGCTGAGCACAAGGATTAAGATAACAGTGGGAGAGATGTAAAAGGAAATTAAGAGGGGGAAAAAATGTAATAAAATGCTGCAAGGATCTTGTCCTCATCTTGTGCAAACTGGATTAACTTCCTTGCAGTCCAGGACTGCCAGCCCGTGGGATTGTCCCCAGCTTCTGGGGGCAGGTGGTGCACTCGTGGCCAGCAAGGAGTTTCTCCAAATTGGTAGTAGAAAACACAAGCAAAACTGAAACTCATAAATGCTACGGTGGGGAGGAAGAGAGAAGGAAACGGGCTTTTTTTTAATGCCAGCTGGTGCCTCTTCTTCCATGGAAGAGGAGGAGGAAGAAGAGGGGGAAGAGGAGGTGAAAGAGAAAGAGGAGGCTG